GGTACTGCCATGTTAAGGTATGGGTGAATAACAATATTTTGTTGACATCTCACTTCATTGAATAATAGTTGGTTACAGCAATACATACTGGATCTAGTGATTTTGACATTCACATAAAGACTACTGTGACTCTCGATGATGAAGAATATAGTAAAATTTACTGAATCGATCACATGCCTTCTACTTTAAACATTGGCAAATATTGCCATATGAGAACTAAATAGAATACTTAAGTATATGGGATCTGATTGAGTATTTTAGCTTGATAAGTTGGCCATTTTACAATTCAGCAACATTTTGTTATTGAATTTTAAATTGACCTTTGACGTGTAAGAAGTGAAAGGAGAAGGTCATCCCAAGAATGTATGATGAAGATTTGAAGAAATATGAAGATTCAACTGACAATATGTTAAGATGTATTGCAGTATATTATAGTAAGGGCATAATATGGGTAAAGATGAGTATAGGAGAGTTTATAAAGCTAGTTCATATACGCAGAAACCAGGTAAAAAGCGGGCTGCACATATTAAGGTTGCCAACTGCCCTTCCCCTCTGCTTGTTCCCTACCACAGGTTAATGGCATATATAAAATCCATTGATATTGGTCAGTTGCACAGTGTCCATGAGAATCTGTGTAATGGGTTGGATGAATGTGATAAGGTTAATGGTTGTTATAGGGACATTGAAGATCTTCTAGTGAAGTTGGCCAAGTTTTATCTAAATCATGGTAAGTACAATCTCCTAACATTTGACCAGTTCATATTGCATTGGGTGGAGACGGTACCCCTTTTGGAAGGGATGACTCGGCATGTTCACGGTTTGTCAGTTTTCTCAACATCGGCATGTTGAGTAGTAATGAAAATTTTCTTCTTTTGGGCGCAAATTGTGCAGAGAACTGTTTGCTGGTTAAGCATTTCTTGGGTAAGTTAATGACTGACATTAAACAAAGTCAGAGTTAAGGGAGAAAGCATTGATGTTAAATTTGTGTTTGCAGAACTGCCAAATGACATGAAAATGCTTGCTTTCTTAGCTGGGAGCTCACTAACAGTGCAACTTACTTTTCCACTTTTGCAGAGGCAGAGCAAGGAGTCACTGACAAAGATTGGAACCTTTGGGGTTAAAGTGATCAACGCCGTTGAAAAATTCAAAAAGAAAATAAAGCATAAAAATGTTTCAGCCAACAGCAAAAGATCAAATATAACATTCATTGCCAAGCAGAAAAACCGGCAAGAATTTGTCCCTTTGGTGGCTGAATTGGTTGACTGAGCACATGTTGAACGGCTTCATTTAAAAAAGAATGCCTGTGCATTAGCCCATTGTTATCTTTTAAATCACGCGATTGAAATGTCTAAACCTGATTTATCAACTTCTTTTTCTGAGGTTCCACCTCAGAAACTCCATTTTTCAAGTTAATTGATGTTTTAAGATCCAATTGTTATTTGAATAGGCTGGCGAAAGGGATTGTAAGATAGTATGATGATAATGCTAAGACTGATGCAAGGATGTTCAATTATCGATTTACAGGTAAGGACTCGCGAATGTTTTTACATAATTTTATGTTTCTCATTAATGTACTTGAAAATGGTGTTTCTGATAAAAACCGGCAAGAATTTGTCCCTTTGGTGGCTGAATTGGTTGACTAAGCACATGTTGAACGGCTTCATTTAAAAAAGAATGCCTGTGCATTAGCCCATTGTTATCTTTTAAATCACGCGATTGAAATGTCTAAACCTGATTTATCAACTTCTTTTTCTGAGGTTCCACCTCAGAAACTCCATTTTTCAAGTTAATTGATGTTTTAAGATCCAATTGTTATTTGAATAGGCTGGCGAAAGGGATTGTAAGATAGTATGATGATAATGCTAAGACTGATGCAAGGATGTTCAATTATCGATTTACAGGTAAGGACTCGCGAATGTTTTTACATAATTTTATGTTTCTCATTAATGTACTTGAAAATGGTGTTTCTGATAAAAACCGGCAAGAATTTGTCCCTTTGGTGGCTGAATTGGTTGACTAAGCAAAATGCTGTTTCTTTGTTCAGTCATGTGAACATTACAGATGAGCAAATACTAGAATTAAAACAACACTTTAGATATCTTTTAAACCTTTCTGTGAAGAATTGCCATTTTTTATTTGATGGTGTTTTATACAAGCAGGTTGACAGTGTAGCAATGGGTTCACCCTTAGGTCCATTGTTTGCTAATATATTCCTATCTTTTCATGAGAAATCCTGGTTAGCTGACTGCCCTTCTCTTTTAAGCCTATATTCTACCGTTGATATGTTGATGATTGTTTTCTTATTTTCACATCATGTGACCATGTTACTCCTTTCCTCTCCTATCTAAACTCGAAACACCCCAACATTCAATTTACTCATGAGCTTGAAAGTAATTCGTGCCTTCCTTTTCTAGATGTCAAGGTCATTCGATCTGTTAGTTCTTTTCGCTATCATGGTTCATCATAAATCTACTTCCACCGGATTGTTTACCAATTTTTACAGTTTTACTCCAATGCTGTACAAGAAGGGTTTACTTTTCTCTCTTTTCTCGTTATTTCAACATTTGCTCTTCTTATGTATTTTTCCATTCTGAAATGGAAAAATTCAAGAAAACGTTCTCTCTTAATGGTTATCCTGCAACACTTGTTGATAGTTTCAAATCATTTCTTGATAAACTCTTGTTAAAGTTCATACTTGCTCTAAAAAGATTATATATTTTTGTCTTCCTTTCACTGGTCATCATGGTTTGCACATTCTATCACAACTTCAGAAATTTCTTTCTTCTGCTTATCCACATATTTCCTTATGACACATCTTTCGTCCTTTGTTCTGTCTTTCGAACTTCTTTCCATTTAAGGACAAAATTCCCTGTGAACTGAGATCTAAATTGCTACTTCTGAAAAAGATTTAGTATTTGTGTCTTCCTTTTCATGTCATCATGGTTAATTCTATCACAACTTCAGAAATTTCGTTCTTCTGCTTCCACATATTTCCTTATGACACATCTTTCGTCCTTTGTTCTGTCTTTCGAACTTCTTTCCATTTAAGGACAAATTCCCTGTGAACTGAGATCGCATGTTGTGTATTTGTGTAAGTGTCAATGCTGTGGTGCATTGTATGTTGCTCAAACTCACCGACACATACACACACGTATCTCTGAAATATGGATGTTTCACCTTTGACTGGAAAGAAATGTTCTGTTTCAACCATGTCAGGCATACTCGCTCATATCCATACCACTAAACATCAAATTTCACCCTCTGATTTTAAAATCCTTTCCATTGCTACTTCTGAAGCAGATTTAGTCATTCGCGAAAGCCTTTTCATATCTAAACTTAATCCTATTTTAAATGCCAACATTCGGTCAACTCCCAACCTATTCTAATGCTTTGCTATAGGTCTCTAATTACTAATAATTACTAACCATTATATCTTTAATTTACTAATATTTTTAATGACAGGTTGTTTTTCATCCCTTCCTCTTATTCGCTTATTTTAATAAGGTAACCATTTAAAAACTTATATATATATAATACACGCTTGTAAATAAGTTTAATTGCTCTGAAGATGTTGTGATCAATACAACGAAATGTTAGCCAATACATTTTATATTTTTGTTATGTCTTGTCTGAAAGTCATTTGCTCCCATTTAATTTTCATTTTTAAAACAACACTGTACACAATTCTATTGTGGTTCTTCAGTGTTAAACCTACAGTGTGGACATCGCACTATCGTCGAATTTAATTCAGACGAATTTAATTGAACCAATTAAATGCGATGGTAGTGTGTCGTATGAAACAAATTAAATCCGTCTGATGAATTAAATTTGTCCAAGACGTTTTATCCGTCATGGTCAGATGGATACGTGTGTAGCACATTTTCGTTTTATACGATGCCCTATCATAGCATCAAATTAAATGCATAAATTATTTTAACTTATATATTTCTGAGCCCATAGTTCATATTTTAGCAACTTCTACTTACTGGACATGCGTAGTATGTGATTTTCCTCATTCGGGCAGGAAATTAATGCACAAAATATACTGTTGTGCACCAAAAGAACAATGAATTCATGTAAAAATTGTGGTGAAATCACAACATATGATTGTATTTCATGTGCTAAATATGTATGTTTATGTCCACAATTGCTGTGTTGCTGAACCAAACGAATATGTATCTGGTTGGCACGAATTCAAGAGTGTTTCCTACTGTATGTCGTGTATATGTGACCACTTTGACCAGGATTCAAGTAAGAAAGTGATTGCAGAGAATCTAAATGTTCAAGCAGTTCTACAACCTCTACCCCACGATCATTAAGCCTGTTTAGTTTAAATGGAAATGGCAAGTCAGGAATAAAAGGTGAAACAAGCAATAGTGACTCTGATAGTCAATTGAGCAGGTGTGTCAAACCTATCAAACCTAGGATAGTCAGATCACAGATATGGTGGACATGATTGTAAACGACGATGGGCTGGTACGTAAACTTGTATTTACCAATGTGAAAAAAATAAAAAAATAGCGATGCTTACAAAAAAATTTTGCCTAAGTTAACCAGAAGTCTCAGGATGCATTTGGAAAAGACTTCCCCTTTACAGTGCAACAGATGAGGAATAAATTCAAATGGTGCATAAGCACTTGCAAGAAAATTTGTCTAACAATCAAATCAGCAGTTAAATGTTTTGTTGAGAGCAAAGGATATGGGAACTGGTTTGATGTACTGTATCCCCCTTGTTAAGACAATGGACTCCTGTAAACCAGAAAATGCCATAGAACCTTCTGCTAAAGTTGTGCCTGCTAAGCGACCAAAAACTGATGTTATCCCCAGGTCTCTTCAATTAATGCAAAATATAATAATTAAGAATGATTCAACTAAAGAATTGCTGTAAATTCTCAAAGACGACATGCAGCATTCAAGAGAGCAAGAAATGAAGCAGTTTGACTTGTTGCATTGGTTTGATACTCGAACCAATGCCAGCAGGTGCCATTCACTGGTAATCCTTATAGTAATGCACAATTAAGGTATACATGCACAACAACAGTCACATATGCCATTTCCTCAACATAATGTCCAAGGTGTATATCCTCCACAACAATCTCACATCCAATTTCCTCAACGCACTGCTCAAAGTGTCTACCACCCACAACAATCACCATTGCCATTTTCTCAACTTGATGCTGATCATGTTTACCCTCCGCAACAATCACACTTGCCATTTTCTCAACCCAATGCTCAAAGTGTCTATCCCTCACAGCAGTCACACATATTGTTTCCTCAACCAACTTCTCGAGGCACACATACATTCCAAACTGTTACTAGCTACATCTGAATTGGAAGACAATAATTGTGGCACAATTGTTCAAAATGACAGCATCACTGATAATTAGTGACATACAAGTACATTAATTTTAAAGTTCCTGTTGATATTGTTGCATATATTTGGTTATTTTATATCCAGAAAGCTATTAAAAATATTTAGTTGAGGGAGATGTACAGACATCAATAAAAAAAGTATAGATATATACAGTATATATACCTAATTTAGCCAAGGTTGTCCTCAATAAGATTAACACAATTACAGTTTGAGAGGCTTAATGAATTATTAAAAGTGAACTAACCCTTACCAAACTGACATATATGTAAAATGTCTGCAAGTATAAGTAAATATCTGCAAAATATCTGCATAAAAGTTGCAGATATTTGCAGATATGTCAATTGTCTGGCAAAATATCTGCATA